GGAAAGAAACCTAGGTATTACAAAAAACCTGACAATTTCTTTTTGTGATACTGCTATGGAAACAGTTAGATTGCAAACATGCCAGTACAAAGCCTGTTGCTTCCTGCAAATACATAAATTAAGACCGACCAGAAACTAAGCGAAACCAATTACTCTGCTTTGCTTGCCTAAGACAAAAGAAACCAGGTAGTAAAACATTAATAGAGAAAAAAAGGTAAGTCAGATCTAAGGCAATGTCTAGAATTAAGGACTCCTGTACTTTTTAAAATACTTAATCTGAGATATGGTCGGGCAGAACATAAATGGGCACTAATATAGTTTTACCTATGTTCTTCATATTTTAAATCCCTGATGCATAAATTTGCAAACACCGATTATGGCAAGACACAGAGGAAAAGGTGATGGGAAATAAGTTCATCAGAGGAAAAGTACAAAGCCTGTCACCGTCACAAGAGTTCAAGAAAGTTGCATGAGGTGGTTGGAAATGGCGCAGAACTGCCCTTGTCCGGTGGAATTTAAGGTCTACTGCTTATGCTTGCAGGGCTGGGAAAAGGTGGGGAAAGTTTTAAAAAGAATCTTCCAATCAAGGGGGAAAAGCAGCCAGCACAACCACGTCACCTTGGAGCAAAAGGGGAGAAAAGCAGGGATGTCCACACTAAATCAGATTCATGGTGCTTCTACTTCAGTACCTTGAATCCAACAGTAAGTAGTACAAGAACAGGTTCACAGCAAAGCTTATTTTTAGAGGGCAGGAATGCTTATTCCTTTGAATTTCTGCCTGTGAAAAACTGCTGCATTTTAGAAAGTGCACCAGTGATCAAAGGCAGCTCCAGTTCTAATGTTCATGTTAAAAGGACATGGCTGGCTCCTTTGCAAATGCAAACGATCATTTTTTTCCAGACAGGCAGAATTAGAAAGGCAGAATTACAATCCTTCTCAAGAATGTAAAAAGCAGGTTTCCCAGGATCACATGCCTCAGTCATTTGTTGAAATGGCTTTGCCATTTGGAGAAAGATCCTATTAAAGACCTTATCGTTAAAAAGGCCTTCATCGTTCTTCTGTGAGTGATTACAAGTTTCCAAGACTGTACTTCTAAAAAAACCCCCTCATTTCCACCTACAATTTGCAATCGTTGCCATTCAAAAGAATGCACTAGGTACAAGTGCCAGTGCCATCCTCATCAGTGCTGCCCAGCACTTGGGTGAGCAACCTGGGGGAAACTCGCCTGATTCGGAGTAGTATTGCAAGCAAGAAGCGCAGACCAAGTTTGCACAAAGAGATCAAAACCTTCACTTGATTGCAGTACAAATAGCATGACTTTTCTTTTGCAGGGGTGCTGCAAAGATAAATGCATTAAGGATATGGGGGGGCTCAGATGCTGCAGTAAGAAAACCACGTAGGCGCGTTCCTAAACCAGACAGATGTTTTATGACTCGGAAGGGGCACAAAGCCGAGTCTCCAGTGGTTGCAGCCAACACCACCGTAAGGACCCGCTCATAAATGTATCAGGTGCATCATCAAGGCAGTTACTATTTTGTTGCCGCCAGCACCCCTCTAGGAAGGCTCCTTTGACAGCTGGAAGCTGAAGGGGAAACAACACAAAGAAATCAAACCCCCTCCGTCCAAGGGTGCAAGCGGTGAGACAGCAGCATTGCTGGAAACACAACCCAGGGGCCTGCAGCGAACCCAGCCTGTCTCAGCTAGAAAAACCAGGATTCCCACCTGCCTGCTTGGGGCCTGTCTGCCCTAAATCCAACCCGAATGGGCTGGTGGGACCCAAACGCTGGGTGCGGCGGGAGGGTTAGGGGTCTGCATGCACGCAGGGCGCAGGTCTCGGCTGCTTGGGTGTGTGCAGGGAGCAAGCTGAGGATGAGGGGGTGCGTGCAAGGGAGGGAGGGAGGGAGGGGGGCAAAACGAGGATGAACTGCTGGATGCAGGGTGGGGAGTAAGTTGAGGACAAACAGGTGCATGGGGGGGTAAATTAAAAACAAAAGTGCATGGGGGAATTAAAAAGAAGCAGGTGCATGCAGGGGGGGCAAAATGAGGACAAACAGGTGCATGGGGGGTAAATTGAAGACAAACAGGTGCGTGGGGAGGAAAAAGAAGAAGCAGGTGCATGCAGGGGGGGACTGAGGAGGAAGAGGAAGAGGGGCAGGGGCAGGGGCATCCCCGCGGCGCGGCGCGGCGCGGCGCGGGTCGGGTCTCACCGCCGCGGTGCGAGATGTGGCGGCAGCGGAAGCGCTGGCGCTTGGGGCGGTGCAGCAGCGCCGGGCACTTGAGCAGCACGGCCGAGGTAAGCAGGTAGCCGCCCAGTCCGCCTCCTCCTACTCCTCCTTCTCCCCCCGCCGCCGCCGCCGCCGCGCTCCGCGACACGGTCTTCGGACAGGAGACAACGTTGCAAAACCGCCTCTGGACTCTCCTCCTCCGAAGCCAGAGCCGCTCTACAACAAGCCCCGTCCATTCGGGATTTGTTTTGTTGCGGGGGGCAGGGATCTCCCGAAGCAGCCGTGCGACCTGCGGACAGAGGGGGATACTTGTATCACATTTTAAAAAGTGGGTTAAGCACTGGGGTAAAAAAAAAAAAAGCCCGTATTCGGCTCCGCTTGCAACTGAGAGAGGGGGCAGGAAACCAGCCTTCCCGGAGGCCAGGAGTCAGGAAAGAAATACTTCTTAAATGAATGGAGAAGGGGGAAAGCGTGGCCTTAAGGAAACATCTAATGTTTTGGAGGAACTCGAAGTCTCAAGTTAGTCTTAATGGTCTTAAGGTGGAGCAAGGGGAGCTTAGGTCAGATATTGGGAAAAACTTTCTTACTAGGAGAGTAGTAAAGCAGTGGAACATGAATCCCGCGTCCCGCCGGGGCTGGGGGGCACGGCGAGCTCCCACAGGCGGCCGCGGCGCTGTCAGCACCTGGGGGGTGGTGAGCACGAACCAGCAGTTGGCAACCACCCACAGACACCGCTGGCAGCATTAGCAGCAACTGGGGACCGCCCACAGTGCACCACCCGCATGTACCCCCGCCCTGTCGCCAATGCCTAGAGAGGTGGTGGACGCTCCGTCCTGGGAGGTTTTGAAGACCAGGCTGGACAGCGCCTCGGCTGGGATGATGTAGTTGGGGCTGGTCCTGCTTGGAGCAGGGGGCTGTGACCTCCTGCTGTCCCTTCCACCCCTCATCTTCTGTGATTAAAATTTAACACTGGCCATTTAATATGCATTACACTGCACTGCTAATACTAGCACCCCCGTATTGTTGCCATTATTGAAAAATGCATCAGAGTAAATCATGATTTTTCATAGTGCACCATTTTCTCCTTAAGAACAAAAGGAATGTCCACTCTACTTTTTCTTGAAATGAAACGTATTACCTTTCGTTAACCACATAATAATTTACAATTGTTGATATTTAGTAGACACACAACCTGTAGAACAGCGACTGAAACCCAAAGCCTTCTCTCTTCAGCTGCATGGGGTAAAAGAGCCCTCTAGTGGGTGAGGAGCTCCAACACCTACACAAATCCTGGCTCTTGCACAGAAGTGTTACATTTCACAAATGATTTTCACATCTGGCATTTTCGTAAGTTTACAAATGCTGAAAGCTGTTTGTCCTCTTGAACCGCTGATGGTGAGCATCTCGCTTCAGTTTCTCTAGTCAAATGCTTCTCTTCTCAACTGTTTTCTTGTCATTTTTCTTGGCTCCCACGGGACTCTTCTGTTCCAGAATCTCAAAGCACTTTGTATACTTTAATGTTCAAGACCCAAAATCGCCCCTTAAGGAGACATTTGCCACAGCTTATATCTAAGAATAAAAACAGAGGAAAACATTTTGCAGGGAATGGAAACCATCTTTCCCTTGTCCAGTCCTGTGGTATTAGAAAACATCCTAATCTTTGATGTAAGCTTTTTCAGTTAAGAACAGTGATGTTATGCTTTGGAACTGTGTTTCAGTATTGCTCTATTTTAGATGCACTTAACTGCTTTAAGGACTTGCATCCAGAATGACCACCACTGAAGATTTGAGAGAGGGGAGAGGAGAGAATCTCTAAAAACTGAGCAGAATTTGTCATTGCAAAACATCCAGTTATTTTGCAAATGTTTTCTATGTTTTACTTTAGTAAAACAGCAAGACAAGAAAAAAAAAAAAAGAAAAACAAGAAACACACACAACCCCAGCACAGTATAAACCTCAAAAACAAGAGTAGGGGGCCCTGGGTCCAGGAATATAGCCTATTTCAAGCAAGTGTTTAAACGAGTCTGCCTTAGATGAACGGGGATTGTGGCACTAATGGAATTAAGATGAATCCAGAAAAGATAACAGAAAGTTTCAACTTGCAAGGCGCCATAACAAGACAAGAAATTGATAAGAGCAAGGTAAAGGGCTCCATATTTTTGGCTGAGAAATGTCTGGGTAAGGGCACCAAAAGAAGAAAGAGAGTTCTCTCACCACCTCAATATAACAAAACAAAAATCCGGTTGCAATCTGGTCATTGTTATATATAAATTCCCAACTATGAAAATAGAAAAAAAAATCTGTAAGAGGAAGCATTAGTTCAAAGTGTTTGAAGACAGGCTCAAATACACTGAAGTACCCAGCTTCTTTTAGCTTTCTATGATGAACAAATCTACAAGAGAAATAAAGCCCACATTTCAATTGCCTTCTCTGATTCTCTCCGAATCTCAGATATTTATTCAGGACTGGACCCTACCAACTTTAAATACTGTGGGTTTTGCTAAGTCAAGCACTGATTACTGTCAAAATAACAAGAGTCATGAATCAAAATCCATAATTTGGATGGGGGGGCGGTGGGGGAAAAAAATCACTTTGAAGGAGGTCAAATCTTGCAGCAGGATGCTCACTGAGTGACGGCTTTGAGAATTCCCCGGAGAACCTTGTAACTCATTAACTGCTGGTTTTCTTTGGGAGGGAAACAGGGTCCACGCTCTGTAACATAAGCATAGGGGAAGCGCAGCACCCACAGTCCATCCGCTGGGAGGGTTATTTCCTGTTTCTCAGGATAAAACACAGCACAAGGTGGAGGCCCTGGCTGAACCTGTAAAACAGTGAACAAAATGGGGGGGGGGGAAGGCAGCGTTAATTATCAAGCGCATCAAAAGATTACATTAATAAACCGTTAGAATCAAGACATATTAAAGAACCAAACGCACATAGGTCTGCTGAGAGTCTCAGATCCAATGAGGTTTTAAACTGCTTGTGAACGTTTCTAGAAAACAACGCTATTCTTGCCAGAAAGCCAGTAAGCTTTCAATCAAGGTGTAGTCAAGATGCGGACAGATTTGGCCTTGCATCACTAACCCCCTATCCACAATAAAAGCTACCTAGTATTAGGGGATTCAGTTACAACATAGGGTAGTCTGGGATTATAGACGGGACCAACCTGTTTAAACTTACTCCAAAGTGTTCCACCAGCTTGGGCCATCTACGGTGGTGCGTTATTTAGGAACACTTAAAACACCGCTGGGCATCACCTGTGCCAAAAGACTGAACTAGATCTCAGTTGCACAAAACCCCTCCATAGCTATTGTAACTCGGTCATGCACTGTTCTGGAGAGCCAAGGGCAGACAAGCACTTAGAATTGCATATTGTTTACTGGCATGAATTTAAACTGGAATAAATACAAGGTAAACACTCAGGGCACTTTTACACGTGCTCTGGGGGTGCGGCTCCAAGAGCCGCTCTAATTAAAGCACCGTCGTGTCTCCTGTATCAGCATCCCTGCACTTAAAAATGGCAGGGGAGGGGCACTTGAACTAAAGCTTATTTGACGAGCTTTAGTTCTGGCGCCCCTGCTGCCATTTTTAAGTGCAGGGAAAGATACAGGAAATGCAGGAAGCCACCGGAGTGCAGTAATTGCTACGCTCCAGCCGACCCAACGAATCAAGTCCACTCTGACAGGCTTGTCTATAGGCGCCCTGAAGCATCCACCTTGGTTTCAAGAGTGTAAGATGCAGAGAAATAGCTGATTCAGCTGCTTTTCCCCTCACTTCATCTCCTTCTCTCCTAAATATTTTGAAATACCACCACAAGAGCCTGTTCTTGCAGTTCACACAGAAGAACTCTCATTGAAGCCAATGAGTGCAGAATGTGAGATCTAATTAAGTCTTTTAATCCCCAAACCAGTTATTCCATTTCATGTGTTTTTATAATTGCTGATGCTTCATTGCCTATGTTTTGTTTTAATTACTACCCTTTCTTCAACATCCAAAACAAAACACACGCACACACACACACACACCAAAAGAGACTGCTGTACTGAATTTTAAAGGTCTTCTCTGAAAAAAGAGGTTATTTTACTTTACGTATCAATATTAGTTATCTCGGGGCATTTCTCAGGAGATGAGAAGGGTCAGGCAGTACCTTAAAAATCAAACCCGTGTCTCCCCACAACTGACATGCAATATAACAGCATTCTGCCTGCATACCAACGGTGCTGTCTGCTGTTAGGTACTGATATATGAAAGTCTTTGCCATATATTACTATTTATATTGTACTGTGTCAAAAATATTATTCCATAGTAGACAAACTAGAAGAAAGTGTGTCTTGTTCACATTCCATTGCCTGGAAAAAAAAAAAGTTATATGAAGTGTAAACGATATATCAAGTTCAAAAACACCAATTTCCTTTTCCCTGCATGTGGAATGAAATCTAAAAGGACATCTTTTCAGTCCCACCAATTTTTCCTCGTGTCAGAGATCAGAGAGAACTGATGACAAAAAATCCTAGTACTGAATTGCCATTTCTCTCTATGAAAGATATTTTAAATATAAAATGACTTCTTCTCTTTTTTTTTTTTTTTTTAAACATAACCATTGCTCATTAGCAATTTAAAAAAACATTGTTTTGGTGCAATTTGACATACTTATTTCAAATGTCTTCTTAACCCTTTGGGACCTTGGTCTGTCATCTGGGATAAAGTGCTTAAAAGTAAAGGTATCGAATTTTGGCATCTGCCAGGCTGGCATTCTTGAAGGCCAAAAAGAAGGAAAACTTGTTTGCAGGATAGGCAGTCTTCGCTGCAGTACTGAACATTTCTATTTGGCATCAAATCTCCATGTTGAATTCTCCAAAGAATGAAAAGGGACTTCTCTTCCAGGCCCATTCAGGCATTGCCTCTTAGCTGAAAATGCCAGGAAGCAAGTCCAATGTGGGGGTATGTCTGATGTGGATACTTATCAGCTGGTAACTACTGAACTCAAGACCCCAGACATTTCACACAAGCCAGTGGCCCAACCACAACTTTTAGCCAGTAACTGTCTGATTGGGCTCATGGTATTCAAATTCTAGTTCAGGCTGGAAGGAATTTCTTTCATCATCCAGTCTTATCCCCAACATTAACTCGTGTGCATCTTTGTCCCACAGTAACCTTTGTAATACCTTTTTACAATTATATTTTATCCTCTCTGCAACAAGTTAGTTGCAGGTTGGTAGGCTATTTTTCATGTCTTACCTGAGGTGTCAGTATTATCTGCAATGGAGCATCTGGTACCACAACGAAGAGTCTCATGAACTGAGCATAGTGGGGTTTTAGTCCTCGCCCCTGGGTTGATGACAGGATGTATAAGGGCATGTCCGAATTAAGGGCTTTGATAGCGGATTCCTTAGGACCACCTCCCATCACCTTCATGACTTTATCAGGCCCTGAACACATGAACCTTCGGCCACGTGCATCTTCGTATTCAAACCCCACAAAGGCTCGAGCCATGTCATCTCTCCGTCTTCCCCTGCCCATTACAACCGCACTTCTTTTGCCAGGAACAGCCTTATTCGGAGCAGGCCAGGAATTGGTGTCTAGATCTCCCTCTTCTTCAGGTCTTGTCCGGATGGCAATGTCCCAAGGCATTAGGTAGTTTGTTCCTGGGATGAAGCCTTGTTGGTCTAAACCTGTGTGGAAGTTGTAAGCCTTAGCAGGGCCAAGTTTGACCAGGGACCAGCTGGAGAATTTGGGCAGAAGGCCCTTAGGGCAATTAGAATGAAGCATGCCAGGGAGATACTCCACAGTGGACGCCTGGCGATCTACTAGGCTTGGCCTTTTCTCACTTTTAGATTCTCCTCCTTGCCCATGGGCTTCTGCATTGTCTCCCCCACCTTGAGGATCAGCTGGGTAGGTGCCAAGACTGTCTGTCGACTGGCCTAGACTAAGGGCTAAACTCAAGCTGGTGCTCTCTCCTTGCGTTTGAGGCTCTTTTTCTTTAAGTTTTTCAACTTCTCCCTCTGGAGGGGCAGGGGATGACTCATTCTTAGCAGGTGCTGGATCCGGGGTACTTGGCTGAAATATTGGGAAGTTGATGTGCTCCAGTTTCCCACAGCATTTTTCTTCCAGTACCTGTGAAAGATAGAAAGTTGTTAGCTTTTCATCTTGCAGCCTCAGTGCATGCAGAGCTCCAAATTACCAGCTGCACTGACTGCACTAATAATATAAGCTATCAGGACAACCATATCTACAGACAAGTGGGGAGATGTTTGCTTTCGGTGAAGCAGGAACTGTAGCACTTCTATACAGCCAACAGCCACCAAGCGTATGATGGAGCTGAAACCCTCAGTGACCTCTACGCTTCGGCTTGGTATTGAAGCGAGGCAGACACTTTTTGCAAAGACCTTATTTTTAAGGCTTTGAAGTATTCCCTGTACCAGCTCTGATTCTTACTGGTACACCAAGTACTGTGTCTAAATTGATGAGCCTGTCCCTAATCTGAATTGTCAAATCTTAAAGCTAGAAAGAATTACTATGGGCACTTCATCTCACCTCCCACATAACCCAGGGGTTACAAGAAATAATGGCCACCAGCTAGCAGAGAGCAGATTTAGATTGGACATTAGGAGGAACTTCTTCACAGTTCGAGTGGCCAAGGTCTGGAACGGGCTCCCAGGGGAGGTGGTGCTCTCCCCTACCCTGGGGGTCTTCAAGAGGAGGTTAGATATGCATCTAGCTGGGGTCATCTGAACCCAGCAGTCATTCCTGCCTACGCAGGGGGTCAGACTCGATGATCTATTGAGGTCCCTTCCGACCCTAACATCTATGAATCTATGAAAAGGTTTAGTCCCTCGCCTCATAACTCTTGCACCAAGCCCAATTGCTTCTTGGGCACGTATTTCAAAGACGTATCCAGTCTCAACTTAGAGGTTTCAAAAGAGGTGGTGAATCCACCATATCTAAAGCAATACTCATTCCAGCTATTAAAAATATGCAACTTATTTCTAGTCCGAATTTGTCGAGTCTCAGGTCAACACTTCAAACTTCTGCTAGAGAAATCATGTCAATGAGAGGTACCATTTTGTTTTTAAACTAAAAAAATCCTATTATAGATACAGTTATACCAACAAAAAAGTGCAATTCCTGAAATAACTTGTTATTGAACTGGTATAAGCTGTTATGGCAAATGCAGCATCTACACTAAAAAGTTTTGCTGGCATTGCTAGACCATTAAGCTTTTCTAGGTTCTAGTTCCTAGACCTATACCTCACTTACCCTTTTTTCTGATAGACTAGCGCCCCTTACTCCCCAGACATCTCTCCCAACAAGGTACTTAAAGACAGATGGAGGTTCCTTTTACCTGTTTTTGGATGTCCTGAGATGCAAGCTGCATCTTAGTTGTAAAGGCAAGGCACAGGTGCTGCTGAATGACAGCAGAAATGGGGAGATAAGAGTTACCTGGTAGAAGTCATAATTAGCTGCTTTGATATCAAAGGGATCATCCCGGGGTGCTTGTTTCCTTCCACAGTTACAGGCACCAGTTGAACGAGCCCGGCTGTTGTGATATAACACTGGAGGATTTCTATCTGCTTCTGGTTTTTCCCCTGAAGAAGTAACAATATCAATTTATGTCCAATTACTTTTTCTGCAGAGGTGCTTGTGAATTCAACCCCCTTCATCCTCTTCTCTTTTTACTTCTTGACAATGTTTCTCCCCACAGAATGACTTTCCAACCACACTGATGTATCATACAACTCCTTCCCCTCATCCCACATTTGCTGCATAGTCACCGTGGATATTAACCCAAACTAATCTGGCCTTTCCTGCTTTTGAGCTCCTGAACAGAGGGGCAAAATAATTTTTCCTATAATACATGTATCCCTAGCAATTCCTGGTCATTGTGTAGTAACACTCTACCTAATGCTACTGCAGCTCTAAGGAATGTTTGTCTTAAACACCTTGCTAGAAAGGTATCTGCACTGTATTCCTAACTTAGTAAGAACCAAAATGACTAATAACAGGGTCAGTCCTGCAGTCCTTTTTATAGGAATAGCAACTAGTGTTGAAGCCAAAAATCTTGTTTGAGGGGGAACACATGGCCCAGGGAATTAAACAGAGTAGAGAGCTTTTACACCCCCTGTGTTACTGGTATTAATACAAATTTGCTACCACCATATACTGTTCCCATGTCAAGCATATGCACCTTATAATTCATCCCATCACTGCTACATTGGGCAGTCTGTGCAGATATGCCAAAGACTGACTCGGTCAGGCAAGCTCAGCTCTTGTAAAAACCTAGGAGTGGTGCCAGCCAGGAATAACAGAGGAAAATATGGGAAGGCTGCAAAACAACCTGTTCTGAACCTATTCCCCTCAGTCAGAATAATGGACTCTCTACAGCTGTTAATGTTTATGGAAGGTACAAGATTGAAACTACCCCCAAAAATCTACAAATTGAGTCTAAATCACTGTTTTTTCTTGTTCTTTATAGCATCCCTTTCAAAATGCCCTGATGTCCAAACAGGCACATGGCTTTAGGATTTAAAAGCTTGAAAAGCTAAAACCTAGGGAGATCCTAAGTGCAACCGAGCTTCGTTACCTGATTTTGGAAGCAAGTGGAATTTGTGCACGCAGTGCTGGTCTGTTAAGCTTCGCTCCTCGCACAGCTGATGCCCGTTGCTCCAGAACTTGTAACAGTCTTCGTGAAGCTGCATGGCGTACTTGTGAAAGGCCGGTCCCCGGGCATGCTGGCTGTACACCCGCAAGGCCTGCGCCAGCTGATTTTTGTGGACTGTCATGGTGTAGTTATGGGGCAGGTTGGACTGGTAAGCACTGTGGGCCATGGGAAGGGCCTTCTGGCACCGGTTTTCGGAAAACTTGGTGTCAATGTCGAGATACCCTTCCAAGACTTTGATGCTGCCCATGATTTTGGAGCTCAGCTCCCCTGTGAGAGAGGCCGGGTCGTCGTCCTTCCCCTCTATGGTCACCTCGTATAATTTCTGCGCAGTGGCCACCCACTTCTGATAGGTCGGGAGCTCAAAGTGGGAGGGCTGAGGGTTCCTCCCCACGCTGTCGTCGAAGCCTTTCTTGCTAAGCACCAGCTCCACGTGCTGCCACAGGAACTCCTTGAGGGTGCAGTCCACCAGCTGCCCGGAGGAGCTGGAGCTGGAGCTGCTGCTCTCGGCGTGGAAGGACAGCTGCTGCCGGCCGTGCCTCATCATCTGGTAGCGCCGCGGCCCCGACAGGGTGGGCGCCAGCAGGTTCTCCGCCTCCCGCGTGGTGCAGTTGCTCCGGAGCTGCTCCAGCAGCACGGCCACGGGGTCCTCGCCGTCCTGCGGCCCGCCGGCCACGATGTAGACGAAGGCCTGGTTGGCGGGCACGGTGAAGAGGCAGTTGATGCTCTGGTTGGTCAGCACCCGGCTCTTGCGGAAGATGCGGTAGATCTGGTCCTCCAGCGCGTGCTGCAGCCGCCGCTTGGGCGAGTGCTTCTTGGGCGGCGGCTTCTCCAAGTGGGCGCAGGGGTCCTGGCCACGGCCGGGAGGGGGGTCCACCTTGAGGGCCCCGTTGAGCTGGAAGAGGAAGAGCAGGCGGGGCGGGCAGGGCCGGCAGTTCAGCTTCCACTCCTTGCCCACGGGGCAGTCCTTGATGGCGGCCTTGAGGCTGGGCAGCACCTTCTGGCGCAGGCCGTCGAGCGCCCGGAAGACGCGGTCGTAGGTGATGTCGAAGGCGCAGGTGGGGTGCGCCAGCAGCAGCACGTGGCACACGGAGAAGAGGTAGAGCAGGCTCAGGCAGTGCAGCTTCTCCTGCTGCTTCCACAGCTCGTGCGCCTCCGCGTGCGGCAGCTGCCCAGGGCCCGGTGGGCCCAGCTCGTGGCAGGCCCGCAGCAGCTGCGGCGCGTCGCAGATGGAGCTCAGCACCAGGTACAGCACCTTGCTG